TCAGTGTATAGAATAAATAAAAGGCACTGTTAAAAATACCTAACGACATTGCACTTAATCAATCCCCGCTAATTGTGTAATTATTTTTTTTTCTTAACACCAAAAACAAAGTAATAAAATGTTAATTCTCTCTTCTTAAGGATTTATTTTTCATTAAAGGGAAGTAACTGTGCAGTCAATACATTTCCGAAACAATTTTAGAAATTTTATAAACCGTCGATACACTTTTTAAAAATTTTATGTCGTGTTCATAATTGAAAATTATTCTTCTAAGTAAATAGAATGAAAATTGTTTTTAAAGACTTTCAATGGTAATTTTTTGACTCGTAAATGTAGACTTTGAGTACGATAAAAAATCTAACACTTAAATCCGTAGAACTGTCAACGACAAACTTTTTTTTTTGCCACACGTTACAGAACTGAACTTTATATATTAGATATATATATATATTAGAAGACTTGTCTCACTATATTCTAAATAAAAGCATTTCATTGCAAAGTATATCCATCGTGAGACAACAAATCATACATAGGCTCGAACTCATTACTGGCTTGGAATAATCAAGGTTTAAAATTTCGTATTTACGCATACAGAAATTTAGTGTTCCTTGTTATTTGGCGAGTCGGTCAAAGACTATGAATAATGAAAACTTAATATATGTTTTTTTGTTCTATTGATTTGGAACTGATTTCTTTTTATAGCTTAGTCATTTTTAGTTTTAATTCGCTTAGTAAAAAAAAAAAAAATTATTTCAATTAGTTTTATCGTCATCCCGATTCGACTATTTAAAGGAGAGAATACTGAATAAGTCATGGGAGTGGTTTACAGATTTGCCTAGTTTTCATACTACAACTTACGTAGTTTTTTTTTTATTTTTTCTCTACGCAATAGTGTGTTTCAGTTAATGTAGAACAATCACTGATGCAATCGATTAGTTTTTTTGTTTTTTTTTTTAACCAGTAGTCTATCATGGTGCAAAAAAAATATTATTTTTTGTCGGAGTTTGCTCCTCCCCTCCCCCTTAAAAAGGAGCGCAAACGTGATAGCTAATAATATAAAGAGCTCAATACTGAATTATGTACAGTCAAAATAAAGCAATTGGACTGCTACTTGACATTACAAATTGTTTTCGACATCATTTGTGTGATAGCAAAATAATAAAGCGGGAGTGATCTCCACTAAACTTTCTCGAATATTCTTATATAACACTACGAAATTTTGATAAATCTAGATTTAAATTTTTTGCCCGATTAAAAAAAAAAGTCCCAAATACTCCGGATATTATGAAGCACTCAGGTGTAAAACGGTGAAAACTGTCAAAATTTTAAGTGATTTTTGTGCACAATTACAATACTTGCTCTATACTCTGTATACGAAAACGTAAAAAGGAAATGGGGCTGAACGAAATGGCATTTATATAGAAAATATATACTCTTAACATTTTACGCCCGACCGCCCCCCCCCCCTCCTGAAATTTTTCAAGTGCCCCCCCCCCCCCCCCCGGAAATAATTTATCTGGAAGAACAACTGGTTAAAAAGCGACCCGACCTTTTCAAATAAGGGAGTGGGGGGCATTTTCACCAAGGCGAAATCTTATATATAGGTCCAATTTGAAGATGGGACGCAAAACTGATAGTTCATCCTGGGCACCTAAATAGATCGCTACGCATGTGTATATAGTTATTGTAATCTAATCAGTTATAAATTATTAGGTACTTGTTAATGCGCCCCCCCCCCCTTACGGACAGCGCCCTAGGCGACGGCCTAGTTCGCCTTACAGGTAGCGCTGGTCTTGCTTTTAGGCTTAGCCAATCATGCATGTATATAGTATATTAGAACAATGGTGGTCTGACCTTTGATGTTATTTAATATTGAAAGGCATGTATGGTAATGAACATTATATTTTCATCTTATATGTTATTAAACATTGTTTTTATTAACTGTAACAATATTATTCAGTATTTTTTAAAAATATGTACACGTTTTTATGAAGTAAAAGTAGCACGTCTCTTTAAAGTATGTTAATGACTCGTATAATATGTTCAATCTTATCAAACAATTGTAACATACCATATTAACATGACTTCTAGAATATTTTTTTTTGTAAATATGTTGTTATAGACATGGATTCCGTGCTTGCCTTAAACCAGGGGTCGGCAACCTTTTGAAGCGGAAGAGCCAAAAGTTACAATTTTCAAAATTTCTCTGGTTTTAAAGAGCCACTAACATTTTCTTTATTTCAAATATTTTATTTTTTTATTAAGAGTATTAGTATTTGTTCAAGGAGCTGGAGAGCCGCATCTTGATATCAAAAGAGCCGCATGCGGCTCGCGAGCCGCAGGTTGACGACCCCTGCCTTAAACACATACACTCTCTCCACGTCCCTTCAGACACATCTACCCCCTCCCCCTCTGTCCACTTCACCCTCAGACATGATAACCCCACATCCTCTTTAACTGTTCCAACGACCCTATTACCCACCCCAACATTAATTTTGAATATATATTAATTTACTCATTTAAAGTTCTAAATCTTGCTTCTTACCCCTCATCTTTCACACAGGAACCTTTTGAAAACTCAATGCAACCAGTATATAAACTGGTCAACATATTTTGTTTCCTTACATAGAAAACGCTTCACTGTCCCATTGACCCACCCCCCCAACCCCCCCCCCCCCCCCCCTCTTTGAACAATTTCCTTTCCACTCACCACCCGGAGTCCTGACACTTTCGTTATACCTTCACCCCCTCTACTGCTATCCCATAATCTATTTTATTAAAAAAAAAATTAAAAAACAATTTAAGAAATTAAAAAAATTCCTATCCTATTTGTATTCTATCAAAAGTACATATAGATGTTAGTACAAATGCATTTGTATCATTATCTCTACACTTTCAAAAAAAGGTTTTTCCTTATCTCATGGTGCACGTTAAAGTATTCAGCATTTAATGATAAGCGGCTTATAAACTTCCAGTAGAAGACTACCAGTTTTGATAAAGTCCATGGGCTAACGGGTCTTTTTAACACCATTCTCATCAATATAACTTTCCATCGATACACCGATGGTTATGTGGTAATCATTGACCATCCTGTAAAAATGTCAACCACTTTCGAGTTCTTTACCAGCAAAGTATCACAATCATTCATTTTATATGCTGGATAGTAGTTGACTTTGTCTTTTATTTATGTCAATGCTCCTTGTGCGATAAGAATCTGATACACGTTCACCATTGTAATGAAAATATATCTTATGTTTATATTTAAAAAAATGTGGTCGCAAATTTTAGTGTGAATGAAATAATGTATTTTGGACGGACATTTTTTTTTCCAACTGTATTACAATATACTGTCAGTGATTAAGTACGAGTGAAGTTTGAAGACATTCATCAAATAGAAATAAATTTAAAATTGAGTGACACTATTTAATCCACAGCAGACTCACTGACAGACAAACAGACAACCAAACATACATCGCATTCCCATCTTTATCTATATCTATAGATACGATATTTATTTTTTTTTAAATATTGACTTTCTGAATTATGATACATGAAAGATAGCTCCAACGTATAGTGAAATATTGAGTACAATATTTGTGGTGTACACAATTTCATATACATTGTTTTGTTTGTTCTTACAAGTTGTAGTTGATCGAAGTAAAAATTAACATGTTAAGAAGTGTTTAATTTCTTTACTTCAAGACTTTGACTTTCAAACAAACAAAACATAAAAACAAACACATAATTAAGTTGTGTTTATTCATTTATTTTACTGAACGAAACCGATACACCGAAATAATGCATTAAATAGTTTGAACCAACAGTTGTTGGTTAATTCGCTGTTTTAATCGACACAATTTAATCTTTGAGTGTAGGACTTTTAGATTATATTAATTTTAACAAAGTGAATTGCATTAAAATCATTAGCCATCATATAGAGAATAGTGGCACAGGCAGCAATATCATCCAACACTCACTAAAACATATTTTCTCCACATTATAAAGGTAGTTGTATACAACCTCAGCCATACATTCCCCCGTGTAGCTACCCATGTCTAGGGAAGTTTAAAAAAAAACGTGTAACGGGTAGCTCATCATCTGGTGAAACATACCTCACAATCACAGTCCGCTGATCAATGTTTGGCCGAAAATTACTATTGAGTCATTTTTGGGCCCCAAAGAAAGTTGGGAAACTAACCAAATGCTTGTTGAGCGGATGCATAAATCCTACAGTGTATATAGTTTTGTATTTAAACTAAACGATGTAATCATTTTAAATTAAAATTGTCGATCAGTTTAGAATTGCCGTAGTTATGTACTTTTCACCGCAATTTCCATACTGACAATTGCGATTATTAATTCGTTATTTCTGGATGGATGGATGGATGTGTGTCCACAGCTTTAAGTGGTATCTCCTCCTCAACGATGGATATCGAGGACTAGTTCCAAAGGAAATGTGTTAAGCAAGTTCCAAGGATGATTGTGGGCCAAAAAAAATTCCCGGAATTTCTTCCTGTATTTCCCGGAAAAGCCAAAAAACCTCAAAAAATGCAGTTTTTGGCCCATATCTCGGCAACCAGACCACTTAGCGACTTAAAACATTTACCAATCGATTCATGCCATAATTTAGAACAATATTGCCGAAGAAAGTTTTCAAAAATATCCTTTCGTTTGGTCACAAAAAATTAATTAAGGAAATTGCGCTTAAATTGTTTCTAGACTTTTTATTAATTTGTTTTATATCAATTTTAAAAACAAAACCAAACTTGGTTATCAGTTGCTTTTTCTTGAATTTAAACTATTCAAGGGAGACAACATTAACAAAATTGGATAAACATCGCTATTAAGTTCATGGACAAATCTACGTTTAACGTAATAGGAATAAAACGCAGTTAATCGTAGAAAAATTGTTTCTTTTTTTTTTTTAAACTGACGATATCATTAAGCAAACTACTATTTCAAAAAAATATGATTGTGTATAGTTATATAATGAGAATATTTGGAAAAGGCAGGGGTAATGGATGCACTCACTCGTGTTTTGGTTGGATTGTATGAAGAGCCAGAGAAACCCAACAATGCTATGGATTTCTTGCGACAAAATTTGAATGCCACTGGACCTGAGACAGCAGACGTTGAGACTCTGAAGCTTGAGGTCACCGAACTCAGGCAGAAATGTGAACAGTTGCAAGAAGAAAACAATGACCTCAAAGCACGGCTGCAGCAGTTAGAGCCCACAGCTGAGCCAGACAACCCAGACAACTAAGACCTTACCTGCTTGTACACTCCAATGTTTTCTAATCAAATAAACTACATGCTATACTTCCAATAAAAAAATAATTTGCCGAAAATACTTCCCGACACTAAATCTAGTCTAGCACTGCCCAGGTACTCAGTAATCAATATGTAGCCTGTAATGATCAGTTTCTGTACGCAATATATACCCCAGCAATAACATTTTCTGACAGGGGTTGAAATAACCTAAAACTCACTCGTGAAATTGTGCAATATTTATTTGGACCAGCTAACATATTGTCATATTGTATTCTGTTAAGGTAAACCACGTACAATTATAAAGAAGTGTTATTCTGGTCTTTCACCCTGGACCACACTGACCCCATGGTACCAAACACGTGATTTTTTTCATGGTACCAGAGCATGGTTAGTTATTACTTAGGTTATCATTTTATTCTAATTCGTCATTGATAATACGTCCAAGATTGTGTTGTCTAATGCATAAAACGCCTAATACAAGCATTGACACAAACTTCAACAACAAGGTGCCTTGAACATTCTTCATCATATCACTGTCAGCAACAGACTCTCTAGCGACCCAAAACACTTACATGTAACCTACGTAAACAAAGACGCCAAAGGGTGTGTGTCGTGGTACCACCCATATTCGTTTTCCTAACGCCAACTAGCAGATTTTATGTGAACAAAATGTATGTCGGTTTAGAGTAACATTACTTTTTTACTTCGCTAAATAAAATACTGTTTAACAAAATGTCGATACCAAACAGTTATGACGTAAGGGTGTGTACATTTTGATGTTAGCTCTGTAACATTGATACAATCCAGATGGTCAGCTTGATGTCTAGACATTGGCACTATCCAGATGGTCAGCTTGATGTCTAGACATTGGCACCATCCATGTGGTCAGCTTGATGTCTAGACATTGGCACTATCCAGATGGTCAGCTTGATGTCTAGACATTGGCACCATTCAGATGGTCAACTTGATGTCTAGACATTGAGGAAATAAATGTTGGTCCCGCTAAAATATCACACTAGTTTAGATACATCAGATCAGCTGAGTCTCGAGTAACAACAGTGGCATGTGAAAGCTTTGGGTCGTTTGAGAGTTTGTTAATCACATTCTCCATCTGTTGTCACTTTTATCCCAATAATGCAGGGGTATGAAGTGCAATTAGGCGGATTTTAGTTAGCTTCAGCTGCGTATTTTAAAATCGTGTTCATGTGTCTCTCTCATTTTGACATATTTGATTGAACCGTAACCATCGCATGTATTATAAATAATTGGCATTTCAAGGTTTAGTTGATAGGTTTATATAGAATGAGTCTATGTATTATAGTATTATTAGTATTGCTAGCCGGGCAATGGCTGTGGTGGTAACCTAGCCGTCTAAATGTATAAATCTAATATTCAAACCACTGGTGTTACGTCCAGGTTAGATTCGAATTCAAGAACAACGCTTCGTGTATAACTTCACTCCTTTTATTTGTCTCAATGCATTCAAGCGTACCATAACAGCCCTCGTCCTAACCGCTACTAACCCGCTGACTGCCAACTAACCAACCCTGACACCCATTCACTCCAGCTTTTATACCGCATTCGACCTTGGGATAACAATACACAAACACACCGGGGTTAACAATATTCTAGGGTAAACTCAACTCACACACTCACTCTCCCCTAATTCTAGATCATTCTATCCTATTCTAGTCTAACCTACACTGACCCGTAACAACTGGTAATCCGAAATCACATAGATCTAGATCTAGTCATGAGCTGGAGTAGATTTATAGATTATAGAGACTCTAGATATCTAGATTTAATAAGTTAATAAGATATCTAGATCTTTGATGGTGGTAAAAAGAAATGAGCAGCTCCAAAGGAAACTGAAGCAAAGAACCAAATGTAGACAACATGTTATGTGTCGAGTGTAGAGAACATGTTATGTGTCGAGTGTAGACAACAGGTTATGTGTCGAGTATAGACAACAGGTTATGTGTCGAATGTAGACAACAGGTTATGTGTCGAGTGTAGACAACAGGTTATGTGTCGAGTGTAGACAACAGGTTATGTGTCGAGTGTAGACAACAGGTTATGTGTCGAGTGTAGACAACAGGTTATGTGTCGAGTGTAGAGAACAGGTTATGTGTCGAGTGTAGACAACAGGTTATGTGTCGAGTGTAGACAACAGGTTATGTGTCGAGTGTAGACAACATGTTATGTGTCGATTCAAGACAACATGTTATATGTCGAGTGTAGACGACATGCTATGTGTCGAGTGTAGACAACAGGTTATGTGTCGAGTGTAAACAACAGGTTATGTGTCGAGTGTAGACAACAGGCTATGTGGGTTATTTATAGAGTGTGGGCAACAGGTTATGTGTCGAGTGTAGACAGCATGTTATGTGTCGAGTGTAGACAACAGGTTATGTGTCGAGTGTAGACAACAGGTTATGTGTCGAGTGTAGACAACAGGTTATGTGTCGAGTGTAGACAACAAGTTATGTGTCGAGTGTAGACAAAGGTTTGTTTTATCGTTCTCTCTCAGTCGCCTTGACGGTGTAATCCAAAGTACATTAAGCAGCTACATGGACATTTGAGTAAGTAATTTGTGAACATTAAAATACAATCTGGCCCAATTGAAAAGTATCATTGCTTACATCGAACTGTTGGGATACCTTATATAAGTAGGCCTATAAGGTATCCCATTTATAAGGTATATTGTGGATTATAAGGTATATAATATATACCTTACACATGTATACTATTTTAGCAGTAAAACAAAAAACTATTGTTTAAAAACGGGTAAATCCAGAATAACTGCTACGCTGATTTACATTCATGAAATGGAATCGTTCTTTTGTATACACAAACAGCTTCATAGAAAGTTTTCGTTTTGCTATTAAATTGTATTTCCAATTTAATTTAAAAAATAAAAAAAAAATAATGAAATTGTTTAGAATGGTAAATTAAATTTTAATTAAATTTAACTTACTTTATTGTGAAATGTAGTTACTGCTTTAAAATTTCTGAACAATTCAAGGATTAGCCTCTCTTGGTTTAATAATAATAATATAATGGGGAACAATTTTGAGCTATCACTAATTTAATAACTTAAATGGTGCTTTTTACCTTCTCGTATATGCGAAGTGTAGAGAAAATCTTGTAATCGTGCAAAATAAAAAAAAATAAAAACGGGATTTTTGCAAATCTCGACGTATTACCTTTATTGTTGTGTTGTGAGACGGTTAAGTATGATATATGACACATTTTTTAATAAATAGTTGTAAAATAATTTTACTTTAATCCTAAATTTATTTCAGCTCCATTAACCAACTCGACCGAAAATCAACTTATATGTGTCCTGTAGGTCTTAATCGTGTGTCTTACTTGTGGCTCATGGTGTTTCACTTGTGTTTCATGGTATCTTACGTGTGTCTCATGGTGTCTTACTTGTGTCTCATGGTGTCTATGGTATATTCCGCATGTCTTTAACGGGCCTAGTATATATCTGGCATGGTTCTAACATAAACGTTGTCAGGATCGTGTGATATACTGGAAGGTAAACCGTCTAGTAGAGGCTCATTTAGTAAATATTGATGTTACATCTGTTACATCGTCACAAAAAATGTCCCACATTCCTGGCCGTCTTATAAGTACCAATATATATTTGGGACATTAGAAAAGTATGTGTGCCAAAAGCAATATCATAACACATTGTTAAAGAAAACAAAAATCGTTCATAACCTAATTCCGTAAATAAAGGGTTAAACAATTTAATGAACTATTTCGGTGCATCGTTACGGCTATCTTTCATTTATCACAATTCAGAAATTCAATATTTTTTAAAACAAATGTCGTATCTATAAATTTAAATAAAGATGGAAATACGGTGTATGTTTGGTTGTCTGTTTGTCTGTCAGTCTGTCTGGATTAGATTAAATATTGTCACTTTAAATTACTTTCTATTTGATGACTGTGTTCAAACTTCAATGGTATTTGCATAACTGACAGTATCGTTTGATACAGTTGAAAAAAATAAAAAGTAAATTAAACTGTGTCCGTCCAAATATTGTCGTTCAAATTACTTTAAAATGTGCACCCAAAATATGAAAATAAAAATTACATTTGACAGAAAAAAAACTTCTTTAGGCATTAATGTTGAAAAACTTAACGGAGCAACATTTCAATCGACCGAATTGGTTGTCTTTGGTAAATGTATAACGCTTGGCTACCGTTTTCGTAATTAATTTTATTACCTATTATTTTAAGACACATATAAGAACAGGGCACAATCTTTAGCTAGTATTAATATATTATCTTTGTAATTTAATTGTGTGCAATTATTAGCCCGTTTTATTTTATAAAAAGAAAATTTAATGATATCAAAATATTTTGAAGTCAATTATTAAGTTATTGCCCCTGTAATGTTTTGGACTAAGACTTTCGGAAACATTTGTTTTAATTGCAATATTAAAATTACAAAACTCTAGCCTAATCACGTACTATATATATATATATATATATATATATATATATATATATATATATATATATATATATATATATATATATATATATATATTGCAATATTTTCACTGAAAGTCATACAGTATCAGATTTATCACGCTAGTAATCCACGACATTTCTACTGTTATTTCATTACTGAATTGAAATCCTACCAGTACTTGGCCAGTGGCGCTGAAAGTATTAGCACATGCGCTTTTCCTGACATAATATATTAGGAGTTTGATAAAACATTACATAAATACAATTGTTTTTTTAAACACACGTTTAAATCATGTATGTGTTTAATATATCTTACAATCGAAACGTGGAAGCGCGTTTTCAACGTGCCTTAAATGTGTCTAAAATGTGTTTAACATGTGTCTTAATTGCTTTTAGTCTACACCGGGGCTAGCTTATATCTGATACAAGAGTTTAAAACGGAGTGTTAGTTTTATAAAGTATGTCTGTGTTAGGGCCCTTATTGTATACAGCCGGCATTGGCCAATCATGTATCTATCGCCCATTAATTTTGTCTAGCGATTATAATATGTATTATTGTGATGTGTAACGGCTGTTTATGACAGTGGCATGATTTACATGTTAGTGGCAGGCTTTACATGGTAGTCGCAGTCTTTACATGCTAGTGGCAGGCTTTACATGGTAAAGGGCTGGTAAGTAGGTCACCAACCAGTTATGGCTTACACTAACATGTGACCCGACAAATTGAAACTGAACATTTCATTTGAAAACCTACAAATAATCTTAGAATCGCCACTGATTGGACCTAATTGGTTGTCTTTGATAAATGCATAACCTTTGGCCACTGTTTTGTAATTAATTTATTTACTTACCTTTTTATAAGACACATAAAAGAACAATTTAAAAATCTGTTTACGTGTATCAAAATATTACTTAAATAATTTGATATGATAAAACTATCAGGCATTTTTAGTATTTAGAAAGAAAATGTAATGATATAAATATTTGTTAAAGTTTTTTTAAGTTATTGCCCTTGAAATAAGACGGTAGTATTTTGGAAACATTCATTTTTATTGCAATTTTAAAATTACAAAACTCTAGCCAAATTGCGTATCTACTTAATATATAAGAATATTTTCACTGAATGTAACACATTATCAGATTTATCACGTTAGTAATCCACGTCATGTCAACTGTTATTTCATAATTAATCCCGACATAATCAGTGTTTCTTCCAGACTTTTTTCTCCGGGGGGGGGGGGGGTGCATTTGACATTTTTTGGGGGGCGGTAGACTTTCTTCGGGGGGCGGACACTGTTAAAAGTATATATTTTCTATATAAATTATATAAATTTCATTTCGTTCGGGGGGGGGGGGGGAAGGGGCGGTAGATTTTTTTTCGGGGGGGGGGGGGGGGGGGCCTGATAGAAACTCTGGACATAATGTCTTAAGAGGTTGATAAAATATTACATTAATACAATTTTAAAAACACGTTTAACTCCTCATATGTTTAATATATCTTATACTCAAAATGTTTTACATAATTGTAGAACACTGAACCACAGTAGCAGACCAATGGAATCCAGATAGTGATGACGACAAAGAGAATGATGATGACAGCAGTTTGGTAAATCAGCTTTAACAATGTCGAGTTTAGGTCGACCACCTTCTCTATGCCTATACCTAACACACCAGATAGTTGAATCAGCTTTAACAATGTCGAGTTTAGATCGTCCACCTTCTCTATGTCTATACCTACCACACCAGATAGTTGAATCAGCTTTAACAATGTCGAGTTTAGGTCGACCACCTTCTCTATGCCTATACCTAACACACCAGATAGTTGAATCAGCTTAAACAATGTCGAGTTTAGATCGTCCACCTTCTCTATGTCTATACCTAACACACCAGATAGTTGAATCAGCTTTAACAATGTCGAGTTTAGGTCGACCACCTTCTCTATGCCTATACCTAACACACCAGATAGTTGAATCAGCTTAAACAATGTCGAGTTTAGATCGTCCACCTTCTCTATGTCTATACCTAACACACCAGAAATATCACCCTTGACACACAGCTCTTTGTATGTTGACCAGATTGAAAATGTCTTGAGACAATAGCTCACGTTTTCATTTACCAGAATAGAAAAGACTTAATACGTAACATTCAGCTCCTTAGGGATATGTTTATAAGCAGCATAAACAGCCAATTATATGTACACTTAAAAAAAAAAAAAAAAAAAAAAAACTATATTTCGATAATTGTAATTACTTAAAATTTGGAACCTTAAAAAAAGTAATACAATGGATGCTGTAAATCTGTTATTTTTAAATTTGAAATTGCTACATTTTTTTAAAAATTTATCTTATGCATGTACATTTTACTTTCATGGGGTACATTCAATACAAATGCAAAACAAGTCTGATTGTTCGGCATTATTTGCGACTTACTCTTTTTGATCAGGTATCTAACATTACATTTAAGAATTTATTGGCATTAATTATATTTTTTAACGTATTTAACGTATGACCTTCTTTACAAACCAAAAAAAAAAAATAATCACTGTTTTCCTGTCCTACTCGTCCCGTAAGAATAATTGGATATCCGCCATCATATTGAATCTCTCCGGTATTTGTTAGTTGTATTTACCTTCATCTCCAAAGTTCCAAGAGCAAAATAATATTACCGTGTATTCATATATAGGCGCATAACATACTATTTCTAACTGTACTCAATCTCCAACTGCTTTCTGATATGCGACTATGTCCTACACGTTAGACTGACCAACTCCTAACGCTTGGTCAGCTGACCGTTACACGTGACAGGTCAGTTCGTTCCACTGTTATTATATTGTTTCTACTTGACCAATGTGGGGTTATTGTCTGGTCATTATAGCGTACATTTACGTATTATCGTTTTAAAAAAATGTCATGGAATAGTATCATCGGAACAACTTTATTTTAACCGGATTGATCGTTCGTCTTATTTATTCAAATGCCATGGCAACCATATTTTCAATAGAGTCACTGATGCTTGCAAATATATTCCTTTACAAGTCATATTGACAGTCAGGATAGTATCCAGCTCACAATAATTACATTGTTCTTATAAATACAACCTATGTCGGTATATAGAGATTGTTTTACATGTCTAAAACTTCAATAAGCTTTAGCTGTAGATAAATAAAATTCAACAATACTGGATAAAGTATTTGAACGAGTTGTTTCAGTCATGATAACTAATTAAAAGCATAGTTTACCTTTCAGATCAGATAATGAACCAGTGTGTTCTACTCTCAATGGCTATTTCCTTGGATTACTCGAACTTGTAGCAACATGGGATCATTTTTCCTGCAAGCCATACACCAACAGTGGGAACATAAAACCGTTTTGTTACAACTTATCTTTTTGCTGAAACATACCCAACAACCACAGTGTGGTGGGAGAAGTCTAAGGTTTTATTATATATGTGTCAGGTCATCGACTTTCTCCTTCACTTAGCTTTGTTAAGGCTTGTAATATTACTCCAGTTTACACTGTAAAAAGTACTGCATCGACAGTTTTTTTTATTTACTGAAAGTCTTATTTAGATTGATGCAATGTAGATATTTAATTGTTTTCTTTTTTATAATGTTAAGTAATATTTATAGGATGTGTCCAATTTATTTATTTAAAATGCTATAAGGGAGAAAACAAAAACATAATTTACATAGACAGCAGAATCAATTGAGTGTACACACACAATAATCACAACATGAAATTCTTAGCATAGAAGAATATAATTTTAAATTTTGTTTGTAAAATATTTTTAAAATATTGATTTTCTTTTCATTTTTTGATAAAAAATCCAGCTCTTTGATCTCAGTCAAAAGGCCGAGAAGCGATGAACATATATTTGACCAATTTTTTTTTTTTTTTTTTTTTTTTTTTTTTTTTTACAGGCTGAAATACAATTTAATTTTTTTAGACCTATACAATGTATTAATTTTCATTCAGAGTAAAGATGAAGCATTAATTCAACACAGGTACATAATACATAATACATAATACAAAACTATATAAAGTCTGTGACAGATGACTAGTAAAATTGTGAGTCTTGGTAAACAATTTAAATATAGCATGACTACAAAGCTGTTTCAATAAAAAGTGCAATTTTCAAAAGCTACAACATAATCCTATAGAAAATTTTAAGCAAAAAGATACTGAGAATGTAAGTTGGTTTTTTATTTCTGCTTCATGTTCAGAACAGGATAGATAAGTATTAACTATAAGGGATGAGAAACAATATTCATTTCTTACACTCATCACTTCTTTCTCTTCCCTTTCTTTTTTTTCTTTCCTCCTTTTTTTCTTTTTTCCCTTTCCAGACTTTCCCTTTTTTCCCTTTTTTTTGGTTTTTGAATCTGATGTTTTCTCAACTTTAGGAATTGAAAAGTCTGTAATTTCTGGTACATCAGACTCAACAACAAGATCAGGCATTTGACCTTTCTCAGCCGCTTTTAATACGTTCCATGTCTCTGAATTATACATGCACATGTCTTTAGGAATAAGGCTGTTGTCGTTTCTTGTTTTGAGTTGAGCGCCTTCAGCAACTAGATATTTAACTGTGCTTGTTCTGTTATTTGTAGCGGCCAAATGGAGAGATGATACATTAGAACCTACTGTCTGATCCATATCAACACCAGCATCAAGAAGTATTTTCACAACCTCACTGTGTCCAGCATAGTCGTCGGTTGCAGAAATGGGTATTTTCTTTCTTATTAGTTTTCTTAACGTGGAGATATCCCCTGCCTCAGCAGCAGCAACCATTCTCTTTTCAAAATGAACATTTGATTATAAATTTACATGATTTGAATTTGAAGCAGTCAAAGTTCCCATTTCTTTGATTTTATGCAAATGAAATATAATAATATTAATAATATTAGATCTATGTCGGCTGTTACTTAGATCTTTATTATTTTTACTCTGACACTCCTCGGTAATTTAAATCAAGAACATGTCAATGTAATCAATTATTTTCAATGCAGCATATTCTATCGGACTAAATAAAATAATAAAATGAAAAGCAGAATTTTGTTTTCATAATTGCCTGGCAACTCTCTTATACATATATTTGACCAAATACTTCTAAACAGAAATCAAAGTTACATCACAGAGGGGTTCTCTAGTTTACACAAATGGCTTTAAAGATAGTTATCGTTTTTATTTTCCATCTACGTTCTTTTAATAATTTTAAAACCTACAAATGTAAATGCGTGCAATATCAAACCCATTAAAATAACTTTATAATATTATGATCAATAAACAAAAATTGAGACTATTTTTTGTTTATGAAATGTTGTTATCGTTTATGTTTTCTGAACGGCTCTGAAAGTAACATCCCTTAATTAATAAAAATTACAAAATGGGAGACAACTTTCAGCTGGTGCTAATAAAACATTTTTTTTCTACATATATAACAGAATGCTTACTATAAAGTTTCATGTAATAAATAGCTGTTAACCATGAAGTCAAAATAGAATTCAACAAACTTAAAATGTCTATGAATATTGTTTATGTTCGTTTTTGTTTTTTTAACAATTAAAACATGTATCTCAATGTTCTCAATTTCGTTTTTAATTTGATTAATTCTAATAAATACCCATATTATGTTTAAAATATTAAAATAAAAAAAAATCAAACGCAAAATCTATTTTTATTACAAATGTAATACATTGCTTAATTATGTACATTGTTTTAAACATCCATTGATACAGCTTGTCATACGAATCAACTTGTTATCTCCCTGTTATTGTTTCTGAACAAGAAATGGTAAGTGATCGGCACATTTTCATTTAAAATTAAAATAATTCAAAATCTACTGAGTATTCATCTTGATTTTAATAGCTTAGTAAATAAAAAGACATATAGGCCTACATATAGTTTACTTTAATTCACTACAATTTAATAATTTAATAATTTAAAAAAAAATATTATTTAAAAAAATAAAGATTAAATGTTTCCATTTAATCAACCACTGCACACTGTCCGTATACAAAAAAAAGTAGCTTAAATTTACATACCACTTAAAAACACACGGACTTGTTACTGAAAAGTCTAGTATATTTCCTAAATGAAAGAGCGAGCAGGGGCAACATATGAAAAATGATCAACCAAATGTCTAACGAGATACGACGCTAACATGCCACCCCCCCCCCCCTATCCCGCTAAACTTGATATAGAGAGCCTAGCTGAGTTTCCCCACATATGATATATGATATAGCAGCATACACATTGATGGACTTTATCTCTGGAAGGTATTGTCACCGACTGTATGGTGTCAATATATCAGGGCAGGTAGGATAGTTTTATATCAGCGCTGGTAGGATAGTTTTATATCAGGGCTGGTAGGATAGTTTTATATCAGGGCTGGTAGGATAGTTTTATATCAGGTCTGGTAGGATAGTTTTATATCAGGGCTGGTAGGATAGTTTTATATCAGGGCTGGTAGGATAATTTTATATCAGGGTAGGTAGGATATATTTATATCAGGGCTGGTAGAGTAGGTTTATATCAGGGCAGGTAGGGTAGTTTTATATCAGGGCTGGTAGGATAGTTTTATATCAGGGCTGGTAGGATAGTTTTATATCAAGGCTGGTGGGATAGTTTTATATCAGGGCTGGTAGGGTAGGTTTATATCAGGGCAGGTAGGATAGTTTTATATCAGTGCTGGTAGGGTAGGTTTATATCAGGACTGGTAGGATAGTTTTATATCAGGGTTGGTAGGTTAGTTTTATATCAGGACTGGTAGGATAGTTTTATATCAGGGTTGGTAGGATAGTTTTATATCAGGGCTGGTAGAGTAGGTTTATATCAGGGCTGGTAGGATAGTTTTATATCAGGGCTGGCAGAGTAGGTTTATATCAGGGCTGGTAGGGTAGTTTTATATCAGGGCAGGTAGGATAGTTTTATATCAGGGCTGGTAGAGTAGGTTTATATCAGGGCTGGTAGGGTAGGTTTATATCAGGGCAGGTAGGATAGTTTTATATCAGGGCTGATAGAGTAGGTTTATATCAGGGCTGGTAGGGTATGTTTATATCAGGGCAAGTAGGATAGTTTTATATCAGGGCTGGTAGAGTAGGTTTATATCAGGGCTGGTAGGATAGTTTTATATCAGGGCTGGTAGAGTAGGTTTATATCAGGGCTGTAGGGTAGTTGTATATCAGGGCAGGTAGGATAGTTTTATATCAGGGCTTGTAGAGTAGGTTTATATCAGGGCTGGTAGGGTAGGTTTATATCAGGGCTGGTAGGATAGTTTTATATTAGGGCTGGTAGGATAGTTTTATATCAGGGTAGGTAGGATAGTTTTATATCAGGTTTGGTATGATAGTTTACTGAACATTCACTCAGAACATTGATATGTTTATATCAGACGTTAGCTCAAATCAACGACTAAACATGTATTGGTTATTTTAATTATTTTTCCATGTTTGAGTTGTTGATAAGAAGAAAATGCAATTGCGCACGACACAGAGATAATCATGTAAATGATTTGTTAGGAGAATCGTGTCGGGCTCTATACTTAGTCGTACATAAATCCTAACATTTAACCATTTTTTTTAAACGTAATGTAGTCTATGTATTTATTTATTTATTTTTTGTGAGAAACGCCTACAGAGCCATCATAGTTTCACTCTCCTACTTCATTCAAAGCAAACTTTAGGTTATTGAATTTGTGAGAGAATTTATTGATGAAATAGAACAGAAATGTCACATAACATGGGTACAGCCTAAAGGATCGCAAACAGATTTCCGGCATGCAGACTCGCCTTGAGTTGTTTGGAAAAGATATTGGCTTGATGGAACGCCTGGTACAAACAACTACTTATGGTATTCTTAAATAATTATTGAGGCAGTATTTCATTTTTTCTTCTTTTTTTTAAACTCTTTGTTTAGTTTTTGATCGATTTTTTTTTCATTAACCATAAACAACTGCTAGTATATAAGTATAAATAAAGCTAGTTTGCTTTATTATATGTAAAGAAATAATAGTTATGATTTTAAGTTTATATACCTTGTTGGGGAAATATATAATTTGGTCACTTATCATTTGTTTAAATGCCCGTGAAATACATTATAATTGAATTGATTTTTAAAAAAAAGTTAAGTTTAACAAAAGAACAATTAACATAAGGGACAGTCGTAATGGTCAATACAATTGTGTTCACCAGTGTGACTTGTTGGGATTAAAATGCATAGCATGTTGTCTTTAATCGATACATGGCTTGTTGTCTACACTCGACACATAACAGGTTTTCTACATTAGAAACAAGGAGGAACAGGTTGATGTTAAGGGATATGTTTCATTGTACTTTGTCAAATGTAATTTATTTTATTGTGTGTGTGTGGGGGGGGGTGGACACATATAAGTGTGATGCGAAATACATTTTTTTCGGACGGATACATAGCAGTTGTGTTTTACTTCAAAACTGTATTAAATGAAACGGACAATTATCAAGCACCAGTGAAGTTTGAAGACATTCACTAAATTTAAATGAATTGAAACTTAACATGATTTAATCTACACCAGACACACTGACAGACAAACAAACAACCAAGCATGCACCGGATTCCCATCTTTTCTTAAATTTATAGATAAGCCATTAGTTAAAAAATATTGACTTTCTGAATTATAATACATGAAAGATAGCTCCAACGTTTAGTGAAATATTGAGTGCAATATTTGTAGTGTACACAATTTCATATATATTGTTTTGTTTTTTCTTACATTTTGTAATTTATCGAAAGTAGAAAATTAACCACACGTACATGAAAATAAAAACATTTAAAAACAGTTTTTTTTAACTTCAAACTTTGACTTTCAATTAAATAAAACGTAAATGAAAACACATAATTCTCTTCATTTATTTGACTGAACTGAATCGATGCACCGAAATGGTTCATTATACAGTTTAAACCACAGTTGTTAGTTAATTCACGTTTTTAATCGACACGTTTTGATCTTTGAGTTTATGACTGTCAGATTCTGATAATAAAGTAAATTGTATTAAATCATTAGCCATCATGTAGAGAATAGTGGCACTGGCAGCAATATCATCCAACACTTACTAAACATATTTTCTCCTCATTATAAAGGTAGTTGTACACAACCTCAGCCATACATTCCCCCGTGTAGCTACCCATGTCTAGGGAAGTTAAAAAAAAGTGTAACAGGTAACGACGGCGAAGATCAAAGAACTGTTCTTTTGGCCCAAAATGAGAAATGATGTGTCGCGTTACTGCAAAAGTTGCACGAACTGTCAGTTGGCCGGAAAGCCAAACCAGAAAATTCCTAAGGCCCCTTTGAGTCCGATTCCTGTATTAGAAGAACCCTTTTCTAAAATCGTCATGGACTGTGTAGGTCCCTTGCCTAAAACCAAGGCGGGCAACGAGTACCTACTTACCTTTATGTGTTCAAGTACCCGTTTTCCCGAGGCGTTCCCCTTACGGAACATTAAGGCAAAGACTGTAGTCAGAGCCATGACCCGGTTCTTCACTACCTTTGGATTACCTAGAATCGTTCAAACAGATCAAGGCAGCAACTTCACCAGTCTCCATTTTCAGGAAGCACTAGCCAAGCTAGGCGTTACCCACATCACCAGCTCAGCCTACCACCCTCAGTCTCAAGGCGTACTTGAGAGGTTCCACCAGACCCTAAAATCCATGCTAAGAACATTCGCTAAAAGTAACACCCAATGGGATGAGAATGTTCCATGGATTATTTTCGCCGCGAGAGACTGTGTCCAGGAAGCTTTAGGTTACTCTCCTTT